TACTTATATCTCTTTAAATGGTATGTAGCAATGATACCTCAAGTAAATGGGTTTAAAAGCCTTGAATTTTATTCAATATTTGATTTATCCTCTTCATTCTCCATTTATTAAATTTAATTTTCTACTTTATAAATATAAAATAAGCGGATTGAGGATCAATCTTTTTTCTTATAAAAGAATATTATTAATTATTGCCAACAATGTCGATTATTGATATCCTTATCACTCCTATTCCATTCAAGTGTTTTTTCCTTTTACATTATTCGGATTTTCCTTAAAATATTTAGATATTAGTTTTGCATATATTTCCTTACACAACATAGTCACTTTTTTGGTAAAAGGTTCAATTAAAAATTTAGATTTATTTCTTCATTAAAAAACAAATTAAATCTTTGATTAAACAATTTTAATTTTTTGTGTTAGTTCAGGTTCGAAACCTATTTCAAGAGATACCTTTTTTTATTATTTTAAATTTTCTTTAAATTTTTTAAATAATATTTATTTATTATTCTACTAAATATTTATTTATTTATTTCCAATTTCAGAAATAATTATCAGAGAATTACAATATAATATATTATTCAAAAAAAACAAATATTCTATATTCGTGGTACTTATTTACTTAATATGCAATAGTAAATGCTATAAAATTAAAATAAGCTCTATGAATAAATAAAATGATATTTAGTTTATAAAATATTTTTATTTTTTGTTAATAGATTTATTATTAAAATATAATTTAGAAATATAAATTCTTTTATTATTTGTTTGTTTTTTTATTTTTTATTACTTTTTTAAATTTATCAAACATCCTTTAGTATAATTTTTATAAAATTAATTTTCTGTAAGAGAGATACAAACATAAAATATTAATTTTAACTTAGATAGAGTTGACAACAAAAAAAGCAAATAAATTATGAATAATAAATATTATTTGAATTACTCCCTTAATAAATTATCTTTTGAGTTTTAAATATTTATAAGCTAAAATTTGCTTTAAAGTTATTAGTCTTTATTTTTAAATTATTAGTTAATTAAAATCAATACTTTGAATTTATTTTTTAAAACAAATTTGAATTATTTGGCAAAAAAAATTGAAACTAACTTTTTTCAAATGAATTTTTTTGAATATCTTACATTTTTTTTACATATTTTAGTTTATTTATTATATTTAAAAATTTCTATTTTTTAATCGTTATTTCTAATAAATGTTGTATTCATATTTTATTTTAATTATTTTTTTAAATTACCTATAAAATAAAATAAATCAATTAATTTATATTACTCATTATAATTTATTTAAAATAATTCTAATTTTATTGATTAAAAATAAATAAATAAATGAAAAAGTTTTATTATAAATTATAAAATTATTCAAATTGCTTAATGTACTAAATTAGCATCTTAATTTTAAATTCATAATATGATAATAGGAAAATTAAATTATGATTCATATTTTTTTTCAAATTTTCCTTCATAAAATTATTGATTTGTTAATTTTTCTTCTATTTATATTATTATTTCATCTTGAAAAAAAAAATCTATGTTTTTTTCTTAGTATTAGTTAAAAAAATAAAAATTTTCTTTTAGATTTCAGATATTAGATACTGCTTAAAAATATTACCTTAGAGGGATTAAAATCCTCTATTTAGATATTTTTATAATTTAAATAAAATATTTTCTTATTTGTAACTAGCTGAAAATAAATTTTTTTCTAAAATATTGCACCTAAATTATTATTTTGGCAATACATTTTCTCAACTTATATTTACTTTTAATATATAAAAAAATCATTAAAAAAATAAATTAATATTTATTAGGCAAATAATTAATCATGATAAAATTACAACTTTAGTATTTATAATTGTCTATTTTTATTGATTTGAATTTAATATTAGCATAGGTATTTTCTATGAGAGAAAAAAAGAATAAAAATTAATGCAAAAAATAAACAAATTGATTAATTTAATTTATCTTACTTACATCATTTAATTAATTTCATTCAATAAATATCCACATTATAATATATTTTTTTAGTTGCTGAATATAATAATAAATTAATTTTATGAAAATAATTGCATGCTATTATTTACAAAAATGGTTAATTGAATACTAATTACAGTTAACTTAAATTATTTATAATTGTATTATTTGAAAATAAGATGTTCAAATATCAATAAATACTTCATATTTTAATAAAATCTTCTTAATTACTCCTAATTACTTTTTTATCTATCACTGGTTAATTTTAGTTAATTATGCAATAATTTTTGGATGCACTATATTAAAACTGGTGTATACCTCATATATAATATATCATTCTAAAAAAGAAATATTTCCTATATTATTGGCATTTATTTTACTCATATGAAATAGCAAGATTCTATAAAATTAAAATAAGCTTTTTAAATAAATAAAATTATATTTAGTTTAAAATATTTTTTGTTAATAGATTTATTTATTATTAAAAAATTATTTAGATAAACAAACTTTTTTATTAAATAATTATTTTGAAATCTTTAATAAAAAAGTAAAAGCCAACTTTTTTCAAATAAATTTTTTAGAATTTCTTATATTAATTACCTATTATTACAGCAGGTGTAATATTCCTATTTAGATATTATCCAATTTCCTTTTTATAACTATATTAAAACTAAGTTTTCTAATCTTATTTTAATTTAGTTTTACAATCTAAACATTTACCTTATTTTAACAAGATCTTAATAAAATTAATTCAAAAATATAATACCTAAATTTTTTATTTTGTGCTAATATATTTTCTCAACTTATAATTACATTTATATATCAAATTCCTATAAAATAAATATATAAATAGATTAATATTGATTAAAATTAATAGTTATAATGATAAATTAAATTTTCAGTATTTATGATTGCCTAATTTATTGATTTCAATTTAATATTTACATAGATATTTTCTATGAGTTAATAAATTTAATTTATCTTACTTACTTACATAATTTAATTCTAATCATAATATCTAAATTTCAAAATTTTTATTTGTCGCTGAATATAAAAATAAATTAATTTTATGAAAATAAAAACATACTATTATTTACAAAAACGGTTAATTGAATACTAATTACTATTAACTAAAATGATTTATAATCTTATTATTAGAAAATTAGATGTAAAAAAAAAAATACTTTATATTTTAGAAAATCAATCTTCTTTA